ATTTTCGATATTTTCTCGGATAAAACAGGTAACATTCTATCTATGAGCGGATCATTATTTCTTTCCCTGATAGTACTGATCAGGTCACAGTGAAGTTTGAAAAGTCTTGCTCACAGGTTTGGCTGCTCGCATCGAATTTTTCAAACGCTGTTGGGACCCGGCAGTAGTTTTTCCAGCGCGCTCACTCTTTGGTGCCATGATTATCAGTTTGTATATGGTAACGAGGCACTCAAAAACACAAAAACTTCAAACTGATATATGCAAAAGAAATATGAGCTCAAAAATGTTGTTCACACTTCCAAGAGAGTGCGCAAGGAAAGAAAAAGAAGGATTCGAACAAAGATAATGCCGCAATAGAACAAAAGTCTAGCAATAAGAGAGAAAGCACTGACCCGACCGCACAGGACGGCACCACGTGTAAGAATGAATTTCAATAATTTTCAATCATATCTCAGGTCTTTTCTTTCAGACTAGTAAATCTTTCTTGTTTTCATCTTTTCCCAAAGGTAGGTCAAAGGAGAACTTCCTATAACTTCCGAAATTCAGGGGAGACTTTCAGAAACCCTAGAAACCGACTGGTGACGTGCCCTGCCCTTATTGCACTGACTTCAGCTTTTGCTTCGCCTCTTACAAGGAAACGATCCCAACTTAAGGTGGCGAATTTGAATGAACCGCATATCCTTAGACGTCTTGATGAGCTGAATTCAGATCTATCTTTCATAGCTGGAAGAAATTATAAGCGGTTGAAAATGTAAAGTCATTGAGGTTTCAATGCATAATGTGCTTCAAAATCCAACTTAGGAGTGTATGACTAACATAATATTGAGTGTAGTGATTTAAAGGAATGCTCACATCAAAAAGAAACACAAATAAGTGTTTTTGAACTACTAAAAAGCAACTAAAGTTCTTTAGTAAGGGCTATGAGCAATGAAAAGTCCAAATTTGGCAAATATACAGCGCCATACCTCGAGGATTAGTTGTTCAAAAACACTTATTTGTGTTTCTTTTGAACGTGAGCATTCCTTGAAACCAGTATAAGTATCATCATTACTTATAATAACGGGCTAAGGATGTTTACGTGACTTGTGTGTGTGTGTGTGTGTGTGTGTGTGTGTGTGTGTGTGTGTGTGTGTGTGTGTGTGTGTGTGTGTGTGTGTGTGTGTGTGTGTGTGTGTGTGTGTCTGTTACGAAATTCGTAGAGCGTGTTCCAGCCAACCCCCTGGGCTCAAATTTTGCACAGCGCATGCTACCTGCATATAAGTCCAATATGCAAAAGCACGAGCCAATTCGTTGAGTGGATCCCTCAGAAACTGCGCGTCAAACGGTTCCACTTTGCATTTGACGAGCAAAGTTGGGTCCGTAATTCCACTTTTTGTAGGGTTGTGGATATTTATATTGAGTAAATGTGCAAGCCACGAGCTTAGGCCCAAAAAAGTGATAAATTGTCCAGTACTTTACAAAAACAGCGCCAAAAAGTATTGCTTGCGCAATTGGTCAATTTGCCAAGGTTTTACCAGAGCATCTGACGAAATTTTTGCACAAAGATGTAGCTCACGGTGACTGCTGTTCTTATTGCAACTGTCAAAACCATAGGAAAATCAAAAACCTATAGAAATTTGCGTTTGTTCTCATACAAAAAGTCTCATTCATGCGAAATCACCGATTTCACATATAAAACTTTCGGAATGAGTAGTTGTTTACATTTGGTTCGTGATAGTCGGCATTGCTCGGTGAGTTCCAATGCCATCATTATGTGAGAATGAGTAGGGCCTAGATAGTAGAGCCAGTGCGAGCCTCTGCGAAGCAGAGGTGACGCACTGGTACTCAATATCATGCTAGTCGTACACTTCCAAGTTGGATTTTGAAGCAATGTCGAAACTGCAATGACTTCACATTCAACCGCTCATAACTTTTTGCAGAGAACGGCATCGCAGATATGAAAAGCAGATTTGGAATAAGCTCATCAAGACGCATCTAATGATGTGTGGTTCATTCCAATTAGTCACCTTAGGTTGGGATCGTTCCCTTGTTATGAACATCATTACATATAAAAGAATCGTAAGGGGTACACTATGCATTTTTTGCAGAGAAGGACTTTCGAGCATCCTTCGCTCCTTTAAAACATCGCTGCGGGATCTTGGTATGTGCATTTGGACGGTCCTTTAGTTTCTGCGGATATAAAAGAGGCATTCACTCCAAGAATTCGTTACATTCGTTTTTTGTGTTTGTTTTTTGTTTCTAGTCTCGAAACCCCTTTTTAAACCTATTTTCGGAAAAGAACTTTCGCGGAAGCTTTGTCCTCGAACAAGTGTGAGAAGCAATTTAACCTCAAAATTCAGAACTGTGCTTCCTTTCAGGTATGCGTTTCTCTCTACGGCCGCCATAAATGCCCCTTATCTCCACTTAGAAAACCTTTCTACAAGGATGTCATAGATTTTCGTCTTTTTTCCCAGCTTTGTTCGCTTACATTGGCATTTCCAGTAGAGACAACTATCCTTGAATGTTGCCTCACTTCAGACCCATTTTCTTCCCTTTTTACGAGAGATTTTCGAAATTTCAACAGCATTTTCATTTAAGAGCTTGTCTTCTTCTTTCCATTGGTACCATTTTTGGCAGCCTGTTTTCACTTTTTGCTGAGTTATGAGCGTTTGAATTGTTCCTTTTCTTTTACATAAACGTCATTTGTACGGTTTATATGGTAGGGGGTCAAAATCAATATTGCTAAATCTGGTCTAGGGAGTTTTCTGACTTGCTGATCGCGATTATCATACTTCTGCATTCTGGCGCCTTTTCATGGAATCACGGTGGGTATAATGTATGGGGCCGAAAATACAAGTATGCTCGAAACTGTGCCTATGGATTTATTTAGCCCGCTGAACATGAATATCATATGATTTCCCTCTTAGCGCCATTTTCTTAGCACGGTGGGTGTACGGTAGATGAGTCGCAGTTCCAAATCTCTCAAAACTTTGGCTTGAAGGATTTTCAAGGAATCTGGTTATTTTAAGTTTGCTCGCGGCATCAATGCCTTGTTGTGGAAGCACGATAATTCGTGGCGTATGGAGAGACATTTTTCCACCCTTTGGGCTAATTCAAATCACAAAAATTTTGCTGAAGGCTTTATCGTGCGAAATGAGCACAATCCGCTCGACCAGCAGGACAGATGATTTTTTGGCAAGTATATGATTTTTAACCTTATACCATATATCCCGTAACTCCACGAAAAGGTCCCAAAATGCAAGGAGAGTGTGATGCCTGTGATCAGCATGTAAAGTGACCCTTCTAAACCGAATTTCAACCGAACTTGAGATTTTGTCTGCCTACCGTAAACCTACCATAATTATATGAAAGGGCCCTATAATGCAGGAATGCGACAATCGTGATCAGCATGTCGAATAACACCCCTAAGCCGCGTTAGCGAAAATTCTAATCTGGCCCCCTACCATATACCCACTGTGACCTCGAAAAAGAGCTATTGCGCAAAAATGATAGTCAATGGCTTCAGGTCGAATACCTTCCCCTCCCCTTCTAGACCAAGTTTGAGCAGGATCACTTCGAAACTTGGGGCATTGGAATAACTCCGTTCAAACTAAGTCAGCATGGCCATCAACATCAGAGTCGGACTTGAAGGCAGTGTCTCACCAGAATTTGCGTCTCGGGGTTTTTGCAAACTACAACCCATTACGACCTTGTATACCCCCAAACGGGCTTAAATCCGTTCAAAAATCCGAAAAACTCCGTTGTTTGGAGACTCCGTAGAAGCAACGCGGACGAGTTGTTCCGATTTATCTTAGCCTTGGCCGCCGGGTCAGACATGTCAAGATGGAAGGCGTCGCTAGGAAAGACTCGTTGAGACGCGATAAGGGAACCGATAAGTCGTTCAGCGAGCCGAAAAGCTTTTTGAGCTCAATTTTTCTGAAGTAGAAGAGACTTAGTAGAACGGGACTTGGGCATTGGCCTGAGAAGGGGACTCCCTAATGAAATCTATAAAATCCGGTATACCTCCAATACAGTGAGATGCTGTCTTTAAGCATGAATGGAAACTTTAGTGGGAACCTGATCAATGCAGTGATTGGAAGGGGGAGGCAGAAGGGAAGGAAAGAGGATTTTCGAGAAGGCTACTGAATTTTGGCATTGCAAAGTGTTAAGAAATTGTGCAGCAACCATAAATTGAGAAGATTTGAAAAAGAAGCTTTGGGATTTTGGCACGGAAAAGTTGAGGGGAACGGTGTAAACATTGTGGACGAAAATACTTTGAAGGAGGAGGAAGATTCTGTGTCTTTGGCAGTAAGCTTTGAGAAAAGGGGATTTTAAAGACAGGATAGCTCTTTGAGCAGAAAAAATGGATAACATGATTATGGATTAAAGGGGAACTTGGGGCCTCTTGGCTTAGGAAATTGGACAGGAGAAAGATATTACAAGGCTAGATGGAGAAGGAAGTTAGGCACCTCTGATGCTTTGACGGAAAAAGCAGCGAGCGAATGAATTTACGCCGAAAGAACACACAATACATCAGCTAGAAAAAGTTACAGAAAGGAGGGCTACGGAAAGGATGCTTTTTGAGGAGGAAAAGCACTATTTTGATTATCCCATGCGCAGGACGAGTCCGGAGGAGAAGTATGAGTAGGGTGTGCAAGTCCATTTCCGAGAATGAGCTTCACTGAATGCGACATTTAGGCAATTCTTTCATCTAGCAATCTTTTACAAACAATCGTACTTTTGTCATTCAAACCTATATGCACCATGCATTTTCAGCAGATCTTTTTTATCAAAACATTAATGAACAAAAATTACGGCTTTTTACGGCATTGAAAAGTGTTATCCGAGGTTTTGGTGACTCAGTATGACAGTTCTCACAACTGATAGCCATCGGGCCGCTAGTCCACAAAAAAATATCGCTTCATGAAAGTCTTCGTTTCTCCATATGAGCAGTCGTAGTGTACCAAATCAAACAGTCAGTCTCATGGAGGTGTCAGCAACAATGACAATGCACATACAAGTTTTAAGGAAATATTTATCTATTCAGATGAGATATATGACCCGACAGATGATTCGGATGCACTTCACTCTGTTCACTTGCTCACATAGACACATAAGCGCTGAACCGTCTTCTACGCGTTACAGCTTTAGAATAAATTCTCATTGACAATGATCAGCATTACTCGATACGATAAATAATCTTAAATTATAAATAAATATGTATATTACAAACATGTTGCGCGTAGCGCCGAGGATTGAAAGCTGCAAGTATATCGGGGTGACATTACGACATTAGGAGGAAGGCTTAGCTCCGTTGTGATATGCAAAAAAATTGGATTGAGAAAAAAGAGAATTTAAGAAGTTCAGATAGCCAGCACTCAATCTCGTACATTATAGAAAAATGTCGGTTTCCAGTGATTTTATGTTTCTCTTTTCATCCATAAAAAACAAAGATATAGTCAAAAATTGATTATATTGAAAGCCGACATGCAAAAAATACATCAGTATAGAGAGTGTTCGATGTACGAGATTACAAAGCTGAGCTACGGGAGAATATATCAAATTTCGGAAAAATTCTTAGCCAATTCTCAAACAAGTTTCTTGAGTTATTTTGCTGATGATCTCCCATAGCTAGCGTTTCCAGAAGGACCAAGGAAGCTCTGGTAAGTGAAAAATAAAAATAGACGCTGGCATAAATTACAGCGGTCAAGTCAATGATGGAAAGCACAACGTGAACAGACAGTCACGCAACATCCACTTCTCTTTTTTTGGAAACTGTTGGAGACGGGTCTGTGAAGATCTTGATGAATTACAAGCTGGATATGTTCAATCTACACCTACTATCGCGCCAATACAGCGTTCAGTATTGGGCGATGAGCTAGTTTCACGACTTCAGCGCCAACGTTTAATGGAAGCCAAATACGTCGTCGACCATGTTCTCCTTCTTCCCAGACACTTAGCTCTTCCTCGACTTCCATTAAAAACACAGTTGTGCGATGTTTTCGATCATCATCCTGCAATTTGTTTACAATGAGACTCAGCAAACAAACTCTGTAAACACAACACCCACCTGGAAAAGCCCAATGACTTCCACTGCTCGCGCTTTAACTCCTGCTTCTTCTTCTAGTTCACGTCTAGCGGCTTCCTCAGCGCATTCGTTCTGTTCGACCCCACCACCTGACACGGCGAACAGCCATAAATTTTCACAGCAGCCATAACTAAGGGTAGTAAAAATCGTTCCTCACCAGGAATCACCCATTTGCCGCCTTCTTTTCCACCACTAACCAAAAGGACCATTGCATCTTTGCCGCGTCCTGGAACAACAAGAAATTTTTTGATCGACAGCTATTAACAAAAAAAATGAAAGTTCCTTGAACACCACCTCAACCAAGCATTACAATTTCCCCTCCCCGTTCCTTCTTCCCAAGAATCTTATGCAACCCTCCAAGACATGCCATTTCCACTGATTCAATAAGCCTCCCCATCTCTCTAGAGCCCGAAAAAAAATTCAAGACGACTCAATCTCACTGGTTAGCTGTGCGTCAACATCTTGCAAAATAATTTATGAGAGAGCTGCGATATCTTCTTAGCCATTGAGTGTTCGAATAACAACGAGTAAACAGATGTCGTGAATCAGTAAATAGATGACAGGATGAGGGATTTGCAACAAAGACAGCTGTCATCATTAGCAAAACTTCCTGTCTGATGATGGGATTTTTGAAAACTTCGAAAACAAGCTGCACAGGGATTAGGAGGACCTGATCTTAGGCAACAGACTCTGAAGAATTGTGGACTCCTAGCTGGATTGCTAATCATCGTATTATTCATCCAAATTAGGGAACTTTGCACAATTCAAACGGAGTTAGAGAAACGAATTCCACTAATAGGAGCCGCCTCCGCGGATTACTGATCCTTTCGCACATGCTGCTGCATACATGAGGGGATCAGTAGTCTGCGGAGGCCGCCGAAAGCGGAAAAAATCGTTTCTTTACGAGTTCGAATTGCGCACAAGAGCTTGCTGACTTCGATTGTTCAAAAGTTCAGTGATCAATTAACCGACTTCACGCCAACTAAATTTTTGAACCATTTTTTGTGGAGAAATGTCTATTGCATTGTTGCGAGCATTTTTAGAGAACGTTGATTTATAAACCATCAAATATTCTGCATCGATAGATAAATTGTCAATATTCTTAGCCTAGACCCACCCAGAAACAAATTTTGAGCTATTTTCCGTCATTATTTGGTAACCGAGCTACTACCATCGACGAAAAATGGATATTAATTCACGGAAAAAAATAACCGCGCTCACAAGCTGTTTTTCACCAAGATGCACAAAACTGGTGTCTCATTGTATATTAAGTCTCCCCACCCCTCACAGTGCCCTGGAATGCCTCAGCCCTACAGGCCTGTCCTTTGAGGGCATCAACCATTTGTTCACGTCAAGTACATCAAAACTACGTCACAGGTCAGATATGATTTAGTGCATCAAGTACAAAGAACTGCCATTTGTCACGCGCTGCTGCTGCCTTTCTCTTTGAAATTCAATGAAAAATAAAAGAAAGCGATTTCTTTCAATTCTGCAGTTTTTTTTTCTTTGCTGACGTGTTATGAGGTGTCTGCAAGGGACACATCGATTTTGCATGGAATGCTTTCGTTATGTCCCATCAAACACGTGTTACCAACGTCACGCAACATTTTCAGCCAGTTGCTGGCGAAAAGAAGCTTGTCGTGGCAAGCATAAAAAACTAAAAAGTATGCAAATATGGCACGAAGAACAACTACATCACTCTAAGGGTTTCCAATTGATAAGTCAGATCTGATGAAGGAAATTCAAACTTCTCTATTTCATTTTGAATTCTCTAACATTAAGATCCATAAAAAACCAGAAAAAACTCATTCTTGTTTAATCGAATGCATTAGCCAAACAGCGGAGATGAGCCACAAGCCCTACAACTATAAAAAGGCCCTACAAAACCCTTTTGTACTGAAACTAGCTTACACTATAGTGTACATCCCTAAGTAGTAGTGGCGTACCGAGAGGGAGGGGGGGGGAGAGGGCGCTGTCGTGGGTCGCGAAAATTTTGAAAGTTACTTACATGAGTTAAAAAAGTGCAGGAGACTTATTTATACTTGTAAGTAACTAAAATAATTTTTAAAAATTTTTTTCAAAATTCAATTTAGCTTTATAAAAAAATTTTTTTGGGGGCGTTTTGGGGTTATGGACCCGCAAAAATTTTGAGAAGCGTACGCACCTGCATTGGAAAAAATTGTCGCCCCTCCCCCACCCCCGAGCCGAAATCCTGGGTACGCCACTGCTGAGTAGTCATACAAGAAGAAACTACGTTTATAAGATGTTGTTTTCCTGCAGAAGCCTAATTCCTTCCTCACCCCCCCCTCTCCCCCACTCCACAACATCCAGATACCCCTACACCAATCCTCGAACAACAGCAAAAAAATGCCCATTCCATCAAGCCTGCGCCATTCCATAGCTGTCCAGTACCACAAGAAAATTGTGTTCGCCCAGAGTGCATTTCCATCAAATCAGTTTTTTCCACACTCTTCGGAACAATGGTTACATGCATAATGTCACAAGAACTAAGACCCATTATCCCTACTTCGAGTGCTTACGTAATGTTTCAAAAACAAACTTTTTTGAGCATTCAAAAAACCCATAGATGAGGCATTTGCCTACGATGGGATTAAATCATTGGCAGCTGATGAATTACCCTTGGGATGAAATTCGAATACCAAGGCCATTCATCTTCTGCCGCAATGATTGCTCAATGGACAACATTCATAGTGGGACCTTCGCCACTCCTTTTCAGCAATTTATACAACCCAAAATTAATTTCTTAAATTGCAAAACACCTTGATCAAGGCTCTTCGTGCAAAAAGACATTGTGCGACGAAAAAATATGTTATTCATATCTTTCACAAACACCAGAGACTTATGAATAAAACACTGTTTATGCTCTTCGCTTCATTTTTCGAGATAAACAGGAGCTTCGATTCCCCGACGTTAGACGCAGTGAATAGCTTATCCAAAAATAGGCACAGAGCTCAAAGATCTTCATCTCTGTTCCCTAAACAACAAAAAACAAACAAGTTAGGGGATTTGTGCTTCTTGCAGCAGTCACGCTTCAAATTTTCCAAACAAGATTTAGTTTTACTCGAAAAAAGAAACTTTCAACAGAAAAAAACGTCCTTCAATCAGGGACTAGCTAAGGACTACATTTAAATCCTCCCACGACCCGTCCATCACTCTGACGTTCACCGAATGAGTCATAGAATTATAGAGGAAAGGTTATCGTCATCCAAGAAACATCAATCTGGCTTCTCCCAGTCAATTTAGTGTGCCCCTTTTAGCTTCTTGAGCTGCACATCAATTATACACGCGTAATTCCTAATGTTAGCTTCTCTCTCATATGACATCACTAACCGTAAACAATCGTGTCCAGAAATACCTGGCCAAGAAGGAACAAAAGCTGCTGTTCACTATTCAGTCAGACATCATACAGGAAAATTGGCGTTTTTACGAATTTTCGCTGATTTGAGAGAAGAGCAGCAAAAATGTTGAGGAAGAAAAGCGAAGAAGAAGCATTGGAGAGAAAAAGTTTTGAGTTATTGTAATTTTTTGTGATCTAATGCACGTGATTTTTCTATGTAATTTCAACTGCGCAAGAAATCTCACCGAAAACCAAGAAATCACAGCTTGAACAACGCTATTATAATCGATATCAATCAATATCGATTATAATAGAGAGATAATGATGAGATTATGACTTTCCGTAAGGCAATGAAAAGCAGATTTTATTACTACACATTCTCACAGCGGCCTGCTTTTTCAATGCTCCAAGACTCATTTGATGTCATAAAGATTTTTAGTGTTGACTAAAGCCCCTGATATTCAATTATTTTGCTATACTGATTCATCACTGTTTTAGAATATCCTTCTATCCCATCGTTTGAAAAAAAAATCGGTTCAAGGCGATTACGCGCCATCCCCCTTCCCATTCCCCCAAAACACATCAACTGCATTCTTTTGCACGCTGACACTCTCCAAACTTTTGTGGAAAGCTATGCTGGCATCCTACACTCGTCCACGCATTCGCTAGCTATCATTCAAAGTTTTATCGGCAGCTGGTAGTTTCCGCATTGTATCACACACACACTGCAACGTGCACTTGACGGCAGAAAAGAGAGATAGAGAGGGGAAATGGCTCGTCGGTGATCGAGCGTTGTAGTCGCCTTGAACGCTGAACGATTGGCTGCAAGATATTGCTGCTTGCAGATGATCTTTGATATAGGCAAAGATGTTGCAGGTTCTTCTAGGATTGCATTCAAGTGATTCATGGAAACCTCTTTACCAGCATGGACTTTCTTTACCCTGGGGTACCCCTGCAGTCTGATACTTAGACAAGGTTACTTTGCAGAATAAGCGATTCAACAAAGATAGCTTCAAACCCGTAAGCATTCTCGATGTCCCTTACTGAGGAGCACTGGCTGTGCTGACTCTTCAGATAGAGTTTAAGTTCCGTTACCAACTGGGTAAACGGTTGGGTAGAGCTAACTCGTAAAGGGTAGGCGATAAACTCCACCTTTGCCGTCTTCAGCTACCTGCTTCTTGAAGAGCATACAACAGCATAGCAAAGAAACCATTTGTTCTTCGAAGGTGACCCAAACGGTTAGGTTCGTTCCCCTACCCGTACGGAATTGCCACCGCCAGCCCTCAAACGAAGGCCAACGTTAGAGTGAGATACGCTCGATCCCCACTTGCGTTTGAAGTGTTTCAGTTTAAAGGGTACTCCATAGAAAGCATACCTCTTGACTTGAAACACTTCACTTTCAATCAGCACAACCCAAATCATACTGTAATCAAATTTTCACCGCACCGAGCTGATGAACACTCCAAACATTCTCGAGCCCTAGATCCGCTAAACTAATTTGCAAAGACCCGCATCCCTCGCTCGCGCTAAGATCACATCTTTTTTTGCAGAAAAGCGCAATGATAAGACGTCCCGAGCGTTGACGTCACGGTGAGACGACGAAAGCCACGAAAGTACGCCCTTGTGGAGAATGGAGGCACTTAATTATTCGCCGACGAATTTCGTAAACATTTGTCAAGAATGAACGTCTGGAATGGGTTTCACGTTTGCGTCGGCAGACGCAGATTCCATCTCAGCCTTGGAGCTGAAAACGAATGTGCATCCATCAAGCTTTGGCCCGCATACGTGAGCGGCAGAGCTCGTGATTCAATTCATGGCTCATGGAGCACGTCAAAGTTAATGCAGACTGGGTCATGAGGGCAATAAGCTTCTCTCGTTAAAGTCGGATTGACCAAAGGGAGGCAGATGAGAATTACGTGATAGCAGTGTCTTCCCCTCTTCCCTCACACATCCCGGTAATTTTTCGCTCAAAAACAAGTTTCGTCGCGCAAATTCATAGCTTGATAGGTACCAACCTAGACTGTCTATGAAGCTCCAGATGGGATAAACGAGCTTCCGATCGGGCGATAGGACCCGTTTATAAGGGTGAAACTGTTCCCGGTCAGAGATCAGAAATTCATAAATGGCGCGCAATTAAAAAGCATTACCTACTTCCAATTTTCAAAACATTTCTTTGTAGCTTCAAGAGCTTGCCCCTACCGATATTACCTGCCTAGGATATGCCTATACTGCCAGTATCACCCCAGAAAAGCATCCAAGTGTACCATTCCGTATACCTATTTACTTCAGCCATCAAAAGATTACAGCGCGTTTTTCTGCGACTCTCGATCTCATTTGCGAGAGTACGAAGGCGACCGGCCCCTCAGAACAACAGCATTGGCGAATGTGAATAACCATTAGCTCGTCGCGTCTAGCCGTACACAGCTATGATCTTTGAACTCTTTGTGGTCGCATCAAACTACATTTTAGGATTCGCAAAATCGTATAGAGCAATTCGCAAAGAGCCTTTTCTCATGATTTTCAGAAAATGCGTTGTTAAGATGCTAGAAGACTTCCAACAATGCAATCCTAAAAAAACTGAGATAAGAGGCTCAGACCAATAAAAAAGTCTACCTCCAAAAATCGTAATCAACAAAGAATTCTATCTTCCCTTCGTTTTCGAACAAAGCAAACTTTTTGCAGAAAATGCAATCCCATGTGATGCAAATGAACGACGAGCCTTAATGACTGCAAGCCGATTCGCACTAATTTCGAGAGCTTTCGAATAGATGAATCAAATTCGCACACTTCGCATTTTGCAGCGTGAGACAAAAAGCATTCGATTACAAATTTTTGGTAAAACGATACTGAAAGCTACGGTATGGTGCATCAACAATTTTAAGACATCCAAAAAATGATTAAAATTTTTTAAAATGGGAATGAAAACGTCGCCAATTCTTGCTCAACTATCACTCCCCAATAACATTCGCCTACAAGCCTGCGCGCGCATTATGTTTGAAAATCTCACTTCACAATAGCTACTTGACGGAAGCTTATCAGCTGTTTATCGACTTCGACCGCGCTGCGACACACTCGTCAAGGTCTTTCTCCCCACTTCAGCATCGTAATGCTGGAAACAACATCAAAATGCGAGATCTGATTCGTGCTATGATTTCATTTCTATTAAATTTCGCAGCACTTCCGCAAAATAAAACAATACGCTTGAGAAAACACTGCACAAGCTGATCAAAGCTTGTAAGCTCCGCTAAGCATGAGAAAGGTAAAACCCATTGATCAGATGACTAGAAAACCACAGTATTCCTGCCTGGGAACAGCAGCAAGGAAAAGTTTCAAGTCAGGTTTGCTGATCAACAATAATTGAAGGAGTTATGGCGCAATTTCAAAGTCGATGAGGCGCAGTCGAGATGATGTTTATCAAAGGAAAAATTGGAGATTAACTAGTCTCGAAATAACAGAAAATTGAATTCATTCACCCACAACAGTTTTCAAATCATGACCAGATGGGAGCTCGAAGTTAGATGTTTCCGCTGATTTTTTTCTACATGCTTTCCATGCCAAACTACCCTTGGCCTAAAGCAGAGAAGTAATGGTAATAAAACTTACTTTTTGCCTTTATCTTCTGTCAACAAAAGGAGGAACTCTGATACAAAGCTGTATGCCCTCACGTTGCCAAGAGCGCGCAAAAAACTGGACTCTGGACAGCTTTACAGCATTGGTTTACACTGTGCAAGCAAAAAACGCAAGTGACAGTGCGACAGGGACAGGGCGCCGGTGACGGCATCGCATCTCTTACCAATAAAGATCGCTTCGGCGTTCAAGAAATGGCTGCTGCAACGTCAAGAGACCGAAAATCGTAAAAATTGTGTAAAAAAATAGATGACTTCTTACAAGAAAAAGAGGAAAAAAGGCACAAAGAACGTGTAACAATCAGTGAACAGATTTTTTTCGACAAAAAGACAAAACAGAGGACTGCCTGAGTTATTTGTTAGGACACTTGTCACTATGATTCACGAATGAATTATGCTTATGACTTTCACTGTTTTTTCTTCGCTAAGATGTTTGAGATCAAACATGGCAAATCGTACCCAGAAACAAAGATTATGGTGTCATTCACCCGCTCGTTCTAGACAAAAATTACCTGACTATTTGAGTATGAGAAAAGTGCCCATAAAACCCATTAGATTTTATTACTAGTGTTATGAGATTCTTTAAAGCTTGCATTACTGTAAACAAATGTGCTGAACATTATCATAATGGCAGGCGAAAGAGCGGATAAACGCATGTGGGATGAAGCAAAGTAGCCGAGCAGCAAAATACTCTCATAAAGCTTAGAAACACAAAAGAAAATGTTTTCACATATTCTCATGGGGTCACATCAAGAACTGAGACTCCAGGTAAGTATTACATAGAGTTTGATACAAAAAGCTTCTAAATCTGCATATCAAGAATTAAATTTGAAGTGTGGAAAGAGGGGAAAGAGGGTAGCACGATTGAAGAGTTCAATTGCAATAAGCCGAAAAGGGGTGATTCCTAGGTTCAGAATACGACTCGAGCCACAAAATTAATGCAAAATGCATCTGCAAATATGATCTAATCTTGGGTCTTTTCGCACGGGCGGTCTCCAGCGTCTCCCTGATTTTGACTTGTCTTAACATGTAATGCACGCCGCAAACCTTTCCTCCCCATGTTTTGCTTAGGCAAAAGCCGTCAGGGTGTGTCGCGCGCGGCGATGATCCTGTGTGGAAAGCATTACGGTCGTGCGAATCGTCCTACACCCTCTAATCTTATATATACAAGATCTCCGTTTTGCCGTTGAGCTGCTACTCTCCAGACCCCCCCCCCCCCCTCCACAGTATGAAACGCTCCGAAATGAGCATATCTATTGGACGAGAATCACATATTTTTGAACCAATGATCGGTGATCATGATGTCACGCTTACCGAACAAGACCTGAGAGATAAAACCAAGAAGCATGTGAGTCTACGTAATCAGCTGAATTGCCCATTTTACTTGTTATGGTTCCATCTATACCCAGTAAATGGCAACACTTTCGGCTCAAAGAACAATCATCATTTCATTTGGCTCCATCAAAACCGATTATGGAACTGATAGAACTGGTTTTCAAAGTATACGCCAGCAAAGAACGCTCAGACGTTACACGTCGTTATTGTACGTTATTGCATAAGAAAAGATAAGATAAGCACCGATAAGGCAACGCTATGGGGCAATAAATTATGGATGAAAGAAAACTGATATTAGAAAAGTCACCAAACATTGATAATAGAATGTGTACTAACCGTTTACACAGACACCCGCAGCACGAATACGATACCCGTCTTCATCTCGTAACCGCTCCCTCGGTCCTTCTCGCGCCTTCCATGGCGCCAGCATAAGACTAGGCCCACTCAAGAAAGTCAGTCTTTTTTCTGAAAAATCAACAAAGTCAGCCTTCATTCTGAAAAGAGATCGTAACGAAAAAACGATTCGGGCACAATTTTCAGACAAAGCGCATTTTCACGTGCGTACAGTGTAATCACACAAAAACCACGATCCAAAAACGGCGTATGTCAGAAAGACTACAATGTATAGTAGGTAACGTCTATCATTAATCACACCCTACTTCTATAAGCATGTGATATGAATGGAATTTTCTTGAATTTTTTTCTCAAAAGAGGTAAAAATACAGACTGTAGGAACTTTGACAGGTGCTTTAATCCAAGCCAACTGCGATAGGTTATTAACTTGACGGGAAATTTTAGCAGATAAATAACCAGGTATACTAGCATTCTTTTATCAGAGTAACGTCTAATACTTGAGCCACTGATGCAAAACATTGAGTCACATTCGTATCCAACCAAGCATTAGTCGTCACGCGATAATAAAGTGAAATTTGACACTGCAATAGCAAAATGGGTCCCGTGACTCGTTTGAAGAAGTAGATACGCTTTGGATAAGCAAGGCTTTGCAGTTACCTAATAGAATTCGACGGAAAAGTTCCGTCAGATTTTTGGTTATGCAACCGATGGATTTCTGAATTTGGACGGCAGAAATTACAAATTTGGTGAAAAGTCTGACAAACTCAAATGAAGTAATTTTTACAAGTATTAACACTCCATTGAATTTCACAACCAAACTTTTCAAGCGAATCGAAAGCAGCAACGAATAAAAATAACAACGATACGCTTCATGTGCTAGCTGCTTTCGCGAAATCGATAGTCGGAAAGCTTGTGTTAAAACATTGGAGGGGAGCCGGTCATTCGAATTTGAAGAGAAATGCAGAAATTTTCAAAAATTGAGCAATAAGAACGAGGATCGCAAAGCTTTGGAGACTCGAAGATGTAAGGAACGGTTTTGACAAGTTTTGACAAGCATAAATCACGTATAACAAGCGAAGTGAGATGGAAACAAATTTGACGTGTTGGGCGCCTTTTGTGTAATGTACACGAAACTTCTAATCAGTGAATGCACTATAGTTCATTTGCGCTCTCATTAAGCTTTTGGGTAAACGACCAAAATTCAAACGCAAGTGTTATCTCGTTTCGAATATATATTTGTTACCTTTATTTCATGTGATTAAGTCACAATTCTTTGATAAGGAAAGTCCTAAGAAAGCACTGAAAGCTTTGACAAGGAATGGATGGAGAAAAATGTACAGAGCTTTCCCAGATTGTGACGGTTGTATCGGCTGCGGACATTGCTCACGGAAGACGCCATATCCGCCTGAAGAGGTCACCCCCGCATTTTTGAAAATCGCTTCAAGTGATTGAAAGATAATACCAGATGGTAGAAAAGCGTTTGACAGAAAGAAGAAGAAAACCGGAAAGCAATGTCGGCGTATTGCATGAGTAATGGCCGCAAACTCACAGACCTTCACGATCAGGCTTGGAGAGGTTAGGCGGGTTTTTCACTCTTGAGACTGATAAATGATGGAGGAAGCGCGCTATGTCCACTACTGAATGATATCGAAGAAAGGGAGTGTGAAAGCTGAAAGCCAGGAACTTCCAAAGTGCATAATATTGAGTGAAAACTTTGCATAGCAAACTTTTCCTCAAACTGACTAGTACGAGAGGCGTGCTTTTAACCCACATTCACCGCCCCCCGTTCACGTCAAGGAAGTGTATAGGCAGGGCGGGGATTACTCTAACCGCCTGCGTCTCCGCGGCGCAGGCGCGTGCCTCCAGCGGCGGCGGCGGCGACGTCGGCGGCCGCACCTGTGATGGTCGAGCGCGCGTCGGGCGCATAGGAGACAAGCGTATTAGCAGACGTTCTTTGCCCGTTCGGACGTTTCATTCTGCTCTCTCAGTCTCACACTATTTTCTAGTAACAAAAAATTGCTGCCACTTCAGGCTACAAAGCTGGGGACAAACAGCTAAGTTTTGTGCAAATACACCAAACACATAATCTTTCAGGAATTATCTGTAGCAGCACATATTGGCTACAAGGCCAAAATCAACTACATTTTGATGACTATTTAGTCAGCGACGCTCCGACAGAACTTCATAAACGAATCGATTTGCAATTTCGGCGATTAAACCCACGTGCCGCACAACAAACAACATCGCCAGCCTTGGCACTAGGCCAAGCGCATGCGCCACGCTCGCATTAGCCGATAAAGTCATGCGTGAACGCCTTACGAAATAGTTTGTCAATTACTGAGACAACAGAATGCGACAGGTAGGGAGCAATTATTTTTTTTTAACTAGAAAACGTTTGTCAGCGACAATCAACATCAGTTTGAATAGGTTCAAAGGACAACTACATCAGCAGTCAGACATGGAAAAACGCGCTTATGTCAAGGAAATTTTGCACTTTTCATTGGATTGCATAAAACCACAAGCTGACCAATCATTAATGAACGTGCACAATTTGTGAAGCAGAAAGAACGATGAAGTTTTGATTAATTAAGGTATACTTCGGTCTCACCGTTGGCGCTGGGTGCAAAAGTTCAAGAGCGAAAAAGATACGCAAAAAACCTTCGAGGGGGAGGAAAAATAAGAAGTTAGTTGAGTGTAGGAAGAAATCATTGCCTAGTTTATATATTAGGTTGTAACATAAGCCTTGTTACACTTTAACTTCTTAAGGCGATAAGTCGTATTAATATATTTTTAACAGGACTCCAGGGTACCGTTCAAAAGAGAAAAGTAAGCTCTACAAGATGTTGTGCAAAATTTCGCATCAGCTTCGGCCTATCGTAAGTTTGCACCCAAAATCTGAGTCGTATTAAAGGCTCAAAAAAGTGGGAAAAATTCATATCCTCATCAAAAGGATCCTACAAATCTCCAATCTCCTCACAAAAATTGCACACTACATCACACACTCATTTGTACCGTTCCTGTAGTATTTCCCCATCTGGAAATCGAGAAAACGAAAATTTTCCAGCTTTTCCAGCATGAAAACGAAGCATGTTGTTTCACTCACGGAGTTTATACTACAATCCTTGAAGGTATAAACGTAGATTTTCAGTTTTCCACAGGCAAGTTTTCGGAAATAACCGAAACTAGCTCTTCTCACTTGAATGTTCCATGCTGTAATCAATATCTCTCGAAAACGAGATTGTGGAAGGCTAAAAATTTACGATTATACTTCTAAGGACTTGTAGTGTACAGTTATATAGATTGAAACTGCATAGATTCGTTGTTTTATAAGCATGAAAATTTTCATGCCCTTGATTTCAGATGAGCGAAAAATACAGAAGTGGTACATATATAAGTGTCTGATGTGGTGTGCAATTTGTCTGAGCAACTTGGAGATTCGTGCGATTCTTATGAACAAAATTATGAATTTTGCGCAAGTTTTTGAGCTCTCAGTCGCGACTTATAGTTGATTCTTTGACCGCACGGACTGGACATCACTGCGGAGCACGCGCCGCGAGTAAAACGCTTGCCCCAGTACAAATTCGCCGTTGCACAAGTCGTGCTCTCGCGACAGTTTAGCTGCACCGCCCGTGTCCCGCAGGGTTTGAGCAGTCCGTGCGGTCAGTGAATCGACGATAGATGTTGGATGCAAACTTACGGTGGTCGAAGCTGATACGAACTGCACAACATCTTGTAAAGCTTGCTTTGCTCAGTCCAATGTACACAGGAGTTTTAGAAAAAATATGAAGTGCATGAATTATCGCCATAAGAAATCAAAGTGTAACTAGATTTATGTCACAACCTAATAGAAAAAAAACCAGAGCAGCAGTGGCGGTACCAGAATTCGTCGTTTCATACTGATCCAAAAAGATCCCTTTTAGCACAGCTCTGGAACCGAAAGGAACATTGTTGAATGCGCTGCAGCCGCCTGCATGTGGCAATGGGCACTGAAAAGAGTAATTTTGACCGTTTTCTACGAGTTCCGTCGTAGATTTTGCTCGTCGGTGTCATTCTTGTACAGAACTTTCTTTTGTGAGAAATTTCCATTGGAACAGAGTTTGCTAATGAATGCTGTTTCGTCGTTTGCCGTTACAAGACAACTCGAACGGAAACCGCTTTCATTCTTGCTGGCAAATTTAGTGTTTTTCACCAAAAACGGGAACGGTAACCGAGAATCAACACTGCGGGTAAATTTACACCAGAAAAATCTTTATGATAGAAAAATCCAGAACCTATGTGAACTTATAGAAATATGTGCTCCAGATATTCAGTCATCCTGGTGACCTCCTGGAACAGGATTATTTTGGCAAAAGGTATCACGTCACATATTTTCAAATCTTTTAAATAACATTTTCGTAAGATATTGATGTGCAGCCCAAATTGGGTTTATATCTCGTCTCTGCGCTATAGACAAGCCATTTGTTTATTCTAGCCTTGCAGGATTGCGTGCGCTTTGTAAACAACGCGATGGAGCATGTCAATCGCGTAGTAAGTTGTTGTTTTCGAAACGTGTATTCGTCTAAATAGTATACGCCTATATAGCATGACTCACGATACCCCTGTGCTTATTGTCCCGAAACCCTAGTCCAGAATATGCCTTTAAGACTTCCGCGCCGGGCCCTGTTATGCGCCTGAGGGCCTTGGATTGGCCGAGAATTTCGAAAAAAAATGAACGGAAGCGTTGCAAACTCTTTCCCAAGATTAAGTGTGGCTGGCATTGAAAGTTTTCGTTCCAGCACAAATTTCATACTGCCGTGGCGTGCGGGCTCCAGCGCAAAAGTTTTTAGTGGTCCCTAGCCCTCGCTTCAGACATCCACGATCTTCTTGGTTGTCGTCAGTGGCTGCCGTCCACTTATTCCAGGTGCGAAAATCGTGCCCAGCTGGTTTCTTAGCTGGCCCATCCGTTCTACGAACACGTCTGCACATTCCGTTGGTGATCTTCCTCGAGCACGTTTCGTTTCGCAAGATATCCGCTCTGAAGTTCTTGGTCTCCATTTGTCGTCCGTTCCGCTCAAAAGTTAACCGCTATCGATGCTTCCCTTTCGCAACATTCCGCTAAGTCACGAAGTCACGGGACATTCTTCTCATATCCATA